CACCAGGCTATCCTCGAGGACGGCTTTCGATGTTGGGCCTATGTGTGCTCTTTGGAACCCTGCACCCTATGCCTTCTGCTCTGCGGATTCCCGAGCTAGTACCTAGCAGACGGAAAGAGGCCCTCAACACAAAAAAAAAACCGAAATAGATCATGCGAGGAAGTGCCCGTCAGCAACTTGATGACGCCCTCCTGGCACGTGGGTCTCAGCGCGCGGCTGGCGGAGTACCAGCCCTGGGGGTCCGATACTAAGTGGCAATTTGGGAAACTGTTAAAATTTCCCTTTATGGTTTGTAAAGAGGTACCTATTCATAAATACTTTTCAGGGCCCCTAAACCCCTAAACCCTAAACCCTCAACCCTAAACCCTAAACCCAGGATTACTATGTCATCCACTCGGACTTCGGCCTTCCCGACACCACCACCACCACCCCAGGCGAGGCTGAGAACGTGAGCGCTGCCCAGCACCGGCCCTCGCCCCTCGTCGGCCCTTCTGTTCTAGGGTTTAGGGTTTAGGGTTTAGGGTCTGTTGATGATATATGTCAGGGCTCTTATCATGATCCCTAAACCCTAAACCCCAAACCACAAACCCTCAACGGTAGGTTCTTTATAGCGTCTAGGTAGGATTTAGGGTTGGGTATGGAGACCGAGACCCCCCCCCCGCCCTGCTGTTGATGATCTAAATCCTTAGCATTACCTTAAGGACCCTAAACTATGGGAATTATGGTATATTCCTTATGATGGGTAATGCAGGATTTTGATCATCAACCGTAGTTCTGGGCTTTATGAGAAGGAACTGTGAGGGTGCAGCATTTTAGGGATTTTGGGTTTAGGGTTTAGGGCATTGTGTACAGAAGTTTGGGATAATGTCCCTGTTTGTCCAAGAGTATATATCTTTTTATAACAACATACTAACGCTGTACTCTACCCAAATTAAATTCGCACAAGAACCCTGGCTGTGGCTTCGTAGCTCAGGTATAGTGGCCTTTGATTATAGGGGGCATGACTAGTTAGATTTATGGGAGGTTCTTTGATAATTTTAGGATCTAAGGTGTATTCCCGAATTTAGGCGTACTGGGCTCCTGGCAAAGGCATGGCGGCCTCGTCCTCGCCTTTTTGGGCCTGCTGTTCTCGCTGCTTTGAGCTATCTATGCTAGAGCATCTGATATGATAATCGTATGGTAAGGTATAGTATGGTATAGTATAGCATAGCATAGCTCGAGTTTCTTTTTGCTTGGCATGTAGGCCTCTTCAGGAGAGCACCTGCCGGGCTTTTCCCGACCTTAGGGTCGTAGAGGGATTTCTTGTTCCCAAGACTCCAAAACCCCTTAATTAAGGAATATACCTTAAATCTTATTAGGGTTCCTATTGTAATTTAAGGTATATTCCTTAATTAAGGAGTTTTGGAGCCTCTGGGTTTTTGGCTTTTGCGTGGTCTGCACTACGCCGGCCATGCACGAGGGGAAGCGCGTTTCCGCATGACCTGCTGCCTGAAGCGGAGCAGGCTTTGCATTCGGGCGCTCGATAGAGATGCCAACCTTGACCTCTGCGCAAAAGACATGCAGCGCAAGAGTCTCAGTCTTCTGCATGGGGTATATCCCTAAACCCTAAACCCTAAGCCGTTTTTCCCAGCTTGCCAGAAGCTTCTCTCGCTGATCCCAGTGGTTCGATCGCACCTTGTCTGTGCCATAGCTTCTCCAGTCTGTTTAGTGTGGCAGTTTGAGGCTTTCCACCGCTGCCATGCTGCTGGGGGGTTTCAGTTTAGGCACTCATACATGCTTGCATAGAGCGATGCTCGCATGCATGTGTATAAATGACTTTGTCCTGCCGCGCGAAGGTGTCTTCAACAGCTCGTGCGATGGCGTTGTGTGGGACAGCTTGATCCCCAAAGCGGCACTCCAAGGGTTTGCGGGCGAGACGCTCAATCTCTGTCCCAAACCTTCAAGCCGCGTAGCAGGATGCACTGTGCATATCAGCCCCTACACTTTTCAACTCCGCGAGGGAGCGTCTCTGCTGTCCCTGATTTCAGCACCTCCCAAACCGGGGTTTAGGGCTTTGGCTTTAGGGCTACCGGAAAGCGATGGGGCGGGACGACATGTAGCAGTCATTGTTTGACCACTTTGACGTTGTTTCCCATGTGCTTAGATCGCTAAAACTCCATCTACATGTTGGCCAGGCGCAGACAGCGCCAAACAATTAAGAGGTGTGTTAGTCAGCACCCGCGCCTTTTCACTCACAACATAGACCGTATTCTGGGACCCTCAATTTCAAGAGGCCCTGACTTACAGCTTACGGCAAACAGTAGCCGACAGAGCACCCTAAACCCTAAACCCTAAACCCTAAAGAAGATCTTCCTAGCCTACGGAGCTTCGAGCCCATTTTTCGCCCGGCTGGGACGCCGCGCGCGCGCGCGCTTTTTTTGAACTCCGAGCCGGGAGGCTGGACGGGGGTTTAGGGGTTCAGGGTTTAGGGGTTTACGGGTCTTAGGGGTTTAGGGATTTAGGGGTTTAGGGTTTAGGGTTTAGGGTTTAGGGGTTTAGGGGTTTAGGGTTTAGGGAGGCTCATTGACGGAAGCTGTTTTGAGGGTGATCCTTTATCCGAGAAGCTAGTCCAAAACACTAAACCCGATCCTTTTTTGGGGAAGCTATTCCTAAACCCTAAACCCGAAGCCCTAAACCCTAAACCCAAACCAACTTTGTGAGCTTCCCACCGCCATATACTTGGAGGTTCATGGGTAGTTATAGGTGGGGTTAAAAGTCCCCTAATATGGGTTGTAACTATAGTTACACTACTTTTTAACTCCACTTAAAACTCCCCATGAACCTCCAAGTAGTGCATGCCATGATTTTGGCGGGACTTGGACCTGCATGCGGAGGAGAGGTCACTACCCACTACCGTAAACCATACACCCTAAACCCTAAACCCTTACAAAATCCTAAGCCCTAAACCCTAGACCCTAAAAACCCTTAAAAATCCTAAGCCCTAAACCCTGAGACAGCGTTTCGTCCTCGGACCCCTCTTCGTGGCTTCCGTTTTGGGTTCAGGGTTTGGGGCGTCCTTATTGCGATTCTTTATGGCTTCTTTTTGGGTTCGGGGTTTAGGGTTGAGGGTGTCGTAGTTGCAGTTCTTCATGGTTTCTTTTTTGGTTTAGGGTTTAGGGTATCCATGGGGGGGACCCCAGGATCTTATAATAGCTTAGATAGCCAATGGAGAACTTTAAACTTTCTGGCCTTATATATTAGGGCCATCCTAAGAAGTTTGAACTTTTTTTGGGCCTGGTTGTTGAAGAAGAGAGACAGGCTTTAGATGCAAGCAGGTTTCGGGAAGGAATATTTGTGGCTCCGCAGCATGTAACGTACCCTGAACCCTGAACCCTGGAACCTAAAGGGTTCGGGGGCTCGGGTTTAGGGTTTAGGGGATGGGATTACCTTTATGGTTGCCGCTCCTCAATTTAGGGTTTAGGGGATGGGATTACCTGTATGGTTGCCGTGCCTATGAGCACTTCAGCCTCAATTTAGCTATTTTTTATGACCCCACTTACCATGACTTGTTATACCCCTGATCTTCAAACCAGCATGAAAGCCCTAGAACAGCGTCATTCGGACGTTCTCAAGCATACTTAACATGACCCATGAACTCTCAAGCACCTGTACATAGATGTCGCTTAAACGATAGCCGACGGCCTACAGCTGTCGTGCCGGATGCTGTGTCGTTAAGGTGAGGCGTGATGACGCTGATGATGATAATGGTGATAGTGTGATGATAGTGCATACGAAGACGACAATGCTGATGATAATGAGGATGATGACATTGCTGTTGAGGATGATCCTACTCAGCTCTGACGCCTAAACCCTAAAACCCTGAACCCCAAGCCCTAAACCCCGAATGCTGAAAGCCCCAAAACCCTAAACCCTAAACTCTAAACTCCCAAGCCCTAAACCCCTAAACCCCAAACCCTTAAACTCTAAGCCCCTAAGCCCATGACCGTGGCCAGGAAAGCTGCCCTCAATTCAAATGGCCGAGGTACGCTGGCATCCCTTCGTCCCACCAGCTGTTTAGGGTTTAGGGGTTTAGGGGTTTGGGGTTTAGGGTTTAGGGTTTATGGGTTTAGGGTTTAGGGTTTAGGAAACCCTAAACCCTAAACCCTAGGGTTCCTTTATACGGATTTATAAAGAGAATCACTGGAAAGGGATCTATAAGGGTACTTCCAGGAGTCTAGGGGCTAAGGGGTGCAGGGTTTATAGGGTTTTAGGGGTTTAGGGGTTAGGGTTCAGGGTTTAGGGTCAAGGGCTTAGCTTTTCGGGGCCAGGGTTAAGGCGTTAAGGTTCACTGATCTTGGGCATCGGAAGGTTGAGGGTTTTAGAGTGGTTTTGCACGGTTTTTTCTAGGCACGGAGGCTTGTGGAAACCCCTAAACCCTAAACCCTAAACAAAAAAACCCTAAACCCTAAACCCTAAACCCTAAACAAAAAAACCCTAAACCCCTAAACCCTAAACAAAAAAACCCTAAACCCTAAACCCTAAACCCTGACAAGGAGCCCCTACCTAACGGCGCCGGCTCAAGGCTGGCTATGTTTTCTGCCAGGTTCGATGGCAGTGAGATCGAGCGCAAATTCCGCGAAGTTCACCGCCTTCTGGACGAGAACGGCTATCAGGTTCTCATCGTGGATGTCTGTGCTGGCGATGATTTCGGGGATGACACCATGGCCTATCTTGGTAAGATCAAGAAGCACAAGGGCGTCCTGCTTTCGGTGTGTACATGGCACTATGCGGAAGTCACGAATTCGAAACTAGGTACCGGCTTAGGATAGTGTCAGTTTCCCACAACTGCAAATAGGGTTGAGGGTTTAGGGTTTAAATAGAGCCCTACGTATGAATACGGTTGATGATATTATAAATCCTGCATCACCCAGAATAAGGAATATACCATAATTTCCATAGTTTAGGGTCCTAAAGGTAATGCTGGATTTATATCATCAACAGTATGGACAAAAGTGTCTGGGGCTCTTGAAATCGATACCCAGGAAATATTCTTCTTTCGAGGAGTTGAAGTTTGCCCATGGCAACGACCTTCATATCCTGCCGCTCCGAGTCTGCGACGATCCTGGGCTTTGCTTTTTGCCTACGGATCCCGAAGAACGGCACCCCGAGTTTTCTGAACCCCTTATAAACACCCCATTCTAAAGTGTACGAGGCCCCAGAAGCCTGAACCACAAGCCCTGACTCTTATTCCGTAAGCTTATTAAACCCTAAACCTCAAGCTCTGAATCTTATTCCGAAAACTCGTTGAGGACCCTTGGCCTCCAGAGCCGCCATCCGGGCCGAACCATGGCTACGACAAGATGGGGAAAGCAGAGGGTTTGCTTGGAATGGCCATCCCGCCCAGCAAGATGTATCTTGGCGATTTCTCATCTCAAAATCATGTTTTTCGTTTGGGGCCGGGTTTCGGGTGCTTAGGCCGTCTTGTCGATTCTGAGTTTTTTCGAAAATCGTCTCTAATTTCATTCAGTATAGCCTATTCTGAAGTCGGGACCGACATCACAGTCAACAAGGGCCATACACAGTCTATCAGAAAGAAGGAACATGTAGGAACCAAGTGTACAAGGCTGAAAACCCCCCCAAGAAGTGTCCAGGTACGTGGACTGCCGCAAGCTAAGCGAGCATCAGATTGCCCTCAGGATTGCACAGGACTGGGTGTTCCTAATAAGAATAACAATATAGGGACCACTTTTTCTTTTTTTTGTAACATCGACCCAAGCGGTCATCAAAGTAGTATTGTGTTTGGGCGAGTGGGGCTTGTAGAGGACTGGGTGTTCCTTAGGAATCAGTAGCGAGGATTGTTTAGGGCTCAGGAATGACTACTGACAGTATTCTCTTGGCGTTCCCGTATCATTCTACTATCATTTACCCTATACCCTAAACCCTAAACCCTAAAGCATATTCTAGTTATTTGGGGTGTGGAGAGGAACTGCGACAAGGCGTCGCCGTCGGACATGGCCAGAAGGCCTCTCCGTAGAGTTTTTTTGGGTAAGGTCTAGGGTTTAGGGTTACGGGCTT